AACTATGTAAGCGAATATTCCAAATTTGAATTTTGTAATCCAGCAATAATGAAATCATGTTGATGGCGTCATGATATCGAAACAGCCACCATCTAGAATGCAATATTTTTGATTTCCTTTTTTTTCAAAAACCTCATAAAACTATAAAAAGCGGGTCAAACTCGACTCAAAATCAATGAAATATTGAAAAAGCTCTCAACATTTTGAAATAACTGCATAGAAATAAAAGTTGTAAAAGAACATAAAAGTTGTAAGAACATGTCGGCCAAATGTGATAACCGTGGAAACGTTACGCTTTGAGTACAGCCTTGCAGACGGTCGGTGCGCCTGAGATTTGAACTGACCAATCAGAATTCAACAGGTAGGAAGAACTGTGCTGTCCTAGCGCCAAACGCATGTTATAGACAGGAAAGGTATTAAAGTCGGGCATCTTTTCTCACCGGCGAATATTTACGAAAAAAGGATATATAATTCAAAAAGCCACATCAGATTGTAAAAAGTGAAAAACAACAACAACAACAAAAACAAAAAGAATGAAACATATTGTGTGTCTCCAAGATTTTAACTTGGCGCCAAAATGGGTCTTCAGCGTTCGGCACCTCACTCATCGATCGCTTTCAGGGTCCTGTCACCAGGTAGGATAAAAGTTGCGTCATTTTGAATAAAATGTGCTGCCCCTCGTCAAATTAAACCCAAAGTTCTCGAATTAAGCATTACAAGAGTCCAAAGCGACTCAGAAATGCCTACATTTTTTTGTTAGCTGCGAAGAAAAAGACTATTATCGTATCGTTTCGGTAGTTCAGTTCGGTTCTGACTGCTGTTGGTCATACCAAATTGTTTCCAGATCAATTTTAGGGAACGAACCAAAGTCTAGCAGTCTATTGCTGGTTTGCAATGGCACGCAATCAAAAATAAATATCGTAACCCATTCAATAAATTAAGTTAAGAATCTGGGATATGATAGAGGATTGATATATAAGCAACCTTGCTAAGATCTTTGTGGTTTTTCATTTGCGCGTTATTTCGAAAAGTGTTTCACGCAAATTTATAGAGCTTTGTATGGAGACGCCATATTGGTGCCCTTCCGAGGGACACCAACATGGCGGCCGCACAATAACAGAAACAGCTGTCATTGAGTTTTGCTATTGGAACAAAAAATTATTACTCTATAGTTCTGATCATTGAAAGTAGTAGGTCTTCTAGTGCAAGAACTGTTCAGTTAGTTAAAACTTGAGTGATGAGTGACTGACCGACCCGGGATTAATTACTTCAGTACTTACTTAACATTTAAGTTTTATCTCAGAGTTGACTACTTATTTTCATTTGTTGATATCGTTGTTGATTTTTCGGCAGCCACCGTTCTTAATTCTGCGTATAGTATAGCTTGCGTACTAATAATAATAACAATAATAATAAATTAAGTCTTATATAGCGCTAGCTGTTTCTAGATTCGCAAGCTACCGTCATGTGCCAGTGGTTGTTCATGATGTTGCTATTGATGCCATTATGTTGCTTCCGTGAATAATGTTATCGTTCGCATTTTCTTGCTCATTGTTTGGTGGTTCTTCCCCTTCCTGTGTTGCTTCAAGCGGTACCACAATGTTCGTCGATCTTTCGAAGACTCGCAATCGGAACCGTTCAGCCTGTGTGTAGTTTTTTCTGAGTAATATTTCAACGAACGCAATTCGAAAGTGCTTTATCCTAACGCAGTAAATAACAGGATTTATCAACGAATTGAGAATTGCTACAAAGCTTGTCGTGAAAAAAGCAATATGAGCT